ACACAGCTCGCTAACAGCCCACGATCCGCGCCGAATCTTGATTTGTGCTTCATCTTGAACTTTTGCCACATCGATTCCACTCCACTTGTACACGCCACAGTGTCAGGATCTACGTAATGTTTGGAATGGTTCACTGTTTGATGATGGTATTTCAGTGGCAAACGTTCGATACCACCATATACCGACCGTATATCGGACATAACGGTGGTGCCTGGCAAAATTTTATCCGCGATAATCAGCAAAAGAGTATCGGCGTTCCCTCGTTCAACCGCTACCATGAAACACCCACTGGTGTTCCGTTCGACTCCACCGAAAATCCAAAAATCCACTGATGATCTATCACTCTCCCCAAATTATACTCCCGTCGACCGCCCGCCTGCAGCCTTCCTTTGTACATCGATAAACTTTACTTCTTGCACACCTCACCATTCTCATCTGCCCACCACACTCGCACGCAAGAACAGTGCTTTTTCTGTGCCTCAAACCAAGAGATGCAAACCACTCTGCAAAGTCGTCCTCCTCCATGGCGCATTTTCCCTAGAACGTCACCAAAAGTGAAACCGCCAAGTTCATCCATATCGTCACACAACTACTGATGTTTCCATAGTTTCTGATAGCTTTAACTAGTGACTTGTGAAAGGACTGGTTTATTTAAAATCATGAAAACCTACCCCGGGCTCCGTTAACCGATTTCGTCCGCATTAACCCAATTCTGTAAGCTGGATTCCTTTGCCATAACGGATTTTTGTAATCTTCGTGAAACAAACAATAGAATGATGCTTTCCGAGTATACGTAATCACTGATAATTCTGTCGCATTCTATAGTGTACACACTACCTCCAATTTGTCGTTATCTCTGTCTCTCCATCGTCTCCATTAAAAAAACTCTCTCAGCCATCAGACGGATATGGTGAGCGATACAAGCGATCTTTGTAATGGAAGCAGACAGAAAAGTGAGATGAGAGAGCTCTCTCTTTCGGACTTAGAAAATTTTCGCTCGTTTTTAACGTTTCGTCAGCACAATGACAAGAGTGCCTGTCATCCTTTCAAAAGTAACAATTTTACGCAAGCAAACAGCCATAAATAAACACATTTATTATTGATTCAAATTCAATCACACTGAAAGTAACAAAATGAAAACAGAAAAGAAGACATATTACATGTATTTTATGATTGATCGAACAATGGCGGCGAATAATTTAGGGAAACTTATTTCTAAGAAAGTAGTCTTTGCCATGCATGCATCTATTAAAATGATGGAAATAACGGAATCACATAACCGTATATTATTTAGATCGACAAATGCAGACATCATTTCTCAACAAAATCATTTTCAAATTAATCTGCCTGTTGACTCTTAAAGTTAGGAAATGGTCACGTCCATTTTCAGCAGCAACAATATTCGAAGCAAAAAAGAAAAGCATTGAAAAAACAGCATCAGATCATCGTTGTTCCTTACTCAGAATACCCCGTAAATCAGTCTGTATTTTCATTAGAGCTATTCTTTGTTCTTCTTGCTTCTTTTCAGCATCTGCCATTGTTTCTTCTAATCGTTTTCTATAACACACCAAAAATAAGAGTTAAACCAATAGATATATCACTTCCCATGAACGTAAATTTGGCGAAATACTTCAACACTAATAATGATAAAATGTACTCATTTTATCATTATTAGTGCTGAAGTATTTGAAGTATTAACTCAGCACTGAACGCATCTACTAAAATGAATGATAAAGAAAGAGGTTAAAATTCAGAAACAATTGCAAAATTACACGGTGACACTCGAGCCATGAAAAAAAAAGAACCCAAGAATTCGACAATAAATTTGCAATGAACACTGAAATCTCAGCAATTACAAGAAACCCGCATAAGCATTCTAAACAAATGTGAGAATGAAATGGCGCTATGAATAAAACAAATCAAAATTGTAAGGTTCATCCAAACCTAATTCTCATTTTAGAATGATGACTTCGCCAGCGGATAGTCAAAAATGGAGTATTTGAAAACTAAACCAACATTTCGGTGTTGATGTAGTCAATACGTTTATCAACGTTCTGTCTTGCTTCACTAAGATCTTGCTTTACCAATACAGGCCCAATCAATTTGTATACTGTTGCATCATCATCCAACAAATCCAGTTCCTTCAAAAGAAAAAACTTCAATTTTGTACCCGATTTTAAATTTGGCTTCGATAGTCCCAATCTATAGACAATCATACTCCTTCACACATCTTACGACATAATAATATTAAAATTACTTCTCATATATTATGCTAAAATCTCAAGACTAACGAAATTCGATCATTTTAAAATTTTGACGAAAAAGACGAGCTATTATATATTAAAAATATTCTTCCTTGTTCCATGAAATTGGTATAAGCAGAATATCTCACCGTCTTCACGAGGCTGTTCTCGGTTAATTGTCCTTCGAGCTGTTGTCTATTGAGCATGTTTCGTTCTCTATCTGAAAATATTTTATCAGATATTTCTAGATAACACATTGAGCATTAGTTATGAAAACATTACAAGAAAGAATACTTCGCCGCATAAAATTTGATTAAACTGTTCTATTTGATTTGAGACTAATGCGTTCTTCGATGGCTATTCCTTGTTAAATCCCCTTAAACTTCAACTCATCATATTCTAATAGTAACTGTAACTCAAACATTCTGCGCTGAGTTCATACAACCGCCATAATTCAACATATCTGAATATAACAGAATATGGTTGTCAATGATATGTTATTATTGGAATTAACTAAATAAGACAGAATAAGATTCGACAGTAATCTTGCGGGAAATTTTAGTTTGTTGCAAATTTGAACATTGACTCAAAATAACAAGTGAACAAGGTACCTTTCTCGAGACGTTTGAATTTCGTGAGCTCTTCCTCGAATCGAGATTTCAAAGGATCCATACTCGCAGTCATTATTTGCCGACGAAGACAGAAGTACCTAAACCAAAGCCATTATTTTTTTATTAGCCCTCCCCACATACGCTCGCTTCGGATCAATAAAAATCGATCTTCATCAGCCGATTTCAAACAGATCAAAATTATTTGCAAAAACCAATTCCGAGGATACGGTTCAGCCAATTCTGAAAACCGATTCTGTTAATTCAACAGTGATTGCAAATGCACATTCTGACCGCACCACTGACCATCACAAAGGTTTCGATGAACCGTAACTGCAACAATTAAGAGTGGATATCACTACATGTCTTCTTAATGTGCTCTGATGGTTGCACGTAAATGTCAGTAAGTCCAGGTATATTGAATACCATCAAAATCGAAACAAACGACAAATAATTCATCACTCCCCTCAAAAAAAGCTAAGGCAACGAAAACTTGAACTAACTGGCATGTAAATAAATAGACGAGTCTCTTTATGCCACAACAAATGCTAGCCTGTCTGTGGTCTAGCCCATTCATCAACACGACAAATGATGTTATCAAATAGCAAAATCACAATTTTACAAAGAAAGTCCTCTCAAAATTTTGGTATCGCCCCCGATTCGAAAGTCGAAGTTTGTGGATCGCAATTCGAGTTTCGAACTACAACGACATTGCGCTTGAAGAGCGATTGTCTCCAACGGTGAAGTTTTTAATGACATAGTGATTTCACTTAACCCTTATGTGGTGTTCGGGTCTGTGAGAAACATTTCCATTTTTTAATTCGAAGAAAAATGATATAAGTAATTATTTTTCAAACTCGAATTCACAACCCTTGGCTCACTTTCTGTGGAGAACTTATATCAGAATAAATTTTTAATGACCACACACCGTACACCCCCCTCCGCCTCTTAAACATTTCTACAACATATAAGATATTCGGGTCCACTGGGCCCAGGCTGATAGAAGTGTGAAAATTGATGTTCTGTGGTCTAAACTAGATTGATTTTGGAAGAGAGAGAAGTTTTTGATGATGATGTAGAGAGAGAGGATTCGGGAGAAGAGGTTTCGGAATTTGAAGATCATATTCCTGAAAATTCAGAGTCTGACAGTGACTCTGAAGAAAATGATGAGATTGAGCATCAGCCAATTCCAAAACGAAGATGAGCCACAGGCACCAAAAAAAACCCACCAAAAACGAACGACCAGGCCGTCAGCAACCAGCCCCAGGACCAGAACAAGATAGTTAGCATGGAGCAAGTGAGGAAATATGGATGTCGAACAATTTCGAAATAAAGTGGTCTTCTCGCCTAAAAAAAGAGCCACCCCGCAAGGCTGCCAATGTGATAAGGATGCAAACAAAGCCAACGTGGATGGCAGTTACCAATACACAGGACATTGAATGTTCCTTTGTGCTTTTCATGCCAGATTCCATCCAGAAAATTGTTATTGTCTGCACTAATTCAGAAGGAAGACGTGTTTTTGGAGAGAGGCGGAAGGAAATGGATCAAACCCATTCACACACCTAATTCAAGCTTCTTGTCCTTGCTGGACTTTTCAGGTCCAAAGAGGAATCCACAGGATCCTTGTGGGATGCAGAAACACACACATAATAAAACTCTGCCCCTCATGCGTTGTATAAAAGTCGGTGGTTTTGAAAAAAGTTGCCTCACTTGTGAATTTGTTTCTAGTTTCTATATCTTGATTTTAATTGATTTTCTTTATTATGTTGTTTATACAAAAGATGTAACCACATTGATGTTATGGAATTCTTGGTCAGTATTCACGGGATTTCCAATGTTATGGAATTCAGTATTCATGGAGATATGCCATGAATCTTCTTTTCGATGGTAAACAACAAATACGAATGCATTTGAATTAGATGGGAATGATTAATACTTCATTCATGATGAGTGTAATACCAAATTCATACAAAATAACTTCTGTTATGAATCACGGAAAAATGAATTCTGGGATCAAAAGCCGGGCTCAGGACTCTCGGGATTCCGTGCAAACATTATCATCGATCCTTGAAACGGAACATCGGATTGCTTATGTTGCGGAGAAATTAAAGAGAAATTAAATGCTATCATTCCGTTGAGAATATTCTTCCGTTACACTTCCGTTTAGTCCGCATAATGCTTCTCAAATTCCTTTCCAGTGTTCTCTTCTATTGTTGATACGAATGGTGTAAGCTTCTACATAAAATTTTATTGTTATTGAGAAGCAAGTTCTTGAAGAGAAGTGAACAACTCTCTTATTCTAATTTCCATGTTCCAAGAAAATTGCATTCAGTATCTCATTCAAGTTCTTCCTTGTCTCCCTAGTTCAACTTTCACTTTCCTAGCATGACTTTGGGTTTCACGAAACAGAATCCGACGTCACTAGCCACTGAGTTCAGCTGTTTTTTAAGTTATAACTCATAACAAATCCACTGCAAAACAGTAATCTAATTCATCGTTCCCAAATTACTTTTTTTTCATGTTCATCAGCCTCGTTCATTACTGACAGAGTTGTTTGAACGAATGATAGAATAACTGCTACTCTGAGCATTCGTAATAATGACATGCAACGCGTTTAAACAACATATTTCGAACGTGAGCCATTTAGGAACAACGATCATCTAATGCAGACGAATGCACTTTGCAGATGTTTGGCTGAGATTGATTGATATATTTAGGCAGATGTCTGTTCTTGATTGATAATGTGGATGGAGAAAGTATCAATCGATTCGGATAGATTCATCCTTTTTAAACCAAAAGAAGGCGGTTGTTGTCTTCAAAGAAAGCCCAATGTGAAGTGACACCTAATCGATTATAACCTCAACGAGAAACCATGACAGGGATGAGGCCATCGTATTGGTGGTTTATTCACTTAAGCGTGAATGATGGAACTGACTCAAGATTATTGGGTCATTTTTTATAGAAACGTTCAACCAGATCATTAATATTGTAGTAATGAAGTGGAAAGCGTCACATTATTATTTATATTCATAGAGCACGTTTCATTACTATAGTTCTTCTTTATCTCACTACTTCAACTCTTCATTTTCCTATCATGCACTTCGGTTTTACTAAACAAAATTAAATGGAGGGAATGATTTTTAAGTTAGTTTTATGTACATTCATTAGATGACGTGTTGTACTGATTTATCGAATAGCATTTATGGTGAATACTTGATACATTGATGGCTTGTACATGATATTTTCAGTGATAAAGCAGCCTTTACCAAGACATTTTGCTCGATTACAGATAATTTGCCCAGGTATGGTCCAACTCAAGTTACGTTATTTCTTTGCAATGTTGTGGGTCATTTGTGGACAAACAAATGAATTTCTGTTTATTGGGGGAATTCTCTTGCGAACTCAGGAATGTCAATTCATCGTGTCTCGCATGTATTTTCCTGACTATTAACGGAAATTCGTGGTTAACTGTAATCCTATCAGTGACTGCTGAACGTATTGATGTTCTGAATTTGAGATGTTTAAACATTTTGAAGTTCACTTTTGGCGTCTATGAGGTGAATGGCTGGAAGAGTGGTTCAGAAATGGTATTGATCGTACACCTTAATTATAGGTCTTGAGTTGTATAATCAGGAACCAAATAATTCTGGCCGAAGGGGTGTTTGCTTACAATTTGCAAGCGAACATTATCAGATGATATACAGATCACCTCGAAACTCCGAATTACGTTCGCAACCTTTTCATGCTAATCTTATGAATTTTTCTTATGATTGCTTGAATTGTTTATTGCTCTAAAATCATGGAATATTATGACCATATCAGTGAGCATGTCGTAGGTTTGAATCTGTTGCATCGCAAAACATGAAAACCCATAAAGGCTTCATGAATTATCTGAATAGAGTTGTATTTATCGAAGCAACTGTGCTCTCAAAGAAGGCGCGAATTCAGTTTTGTTTTTATAATTCGGTCTTCGTACCGCTTTAATTTTCCAGTTTTCCAGCTCTTAATTGGATGAGCTGTTGCGTCGTCAAATCAATAAGATCTCTTTTCCGTTGATGAGAGACTTTCAAAAAACACTCACAGGAAATTTCTAAAAAACCGACTTTCTCTGCGTAGAGGATAGGGATAGGTACTGGAGCAAGTCAGAATGCTCATTCGTACTCGTCCTGTCTGCATGCGTACTTTACTTCCAAATATCACCGGAAACAACCATCACTGAATCGCTTTCCATTATATTTTACTCAGTGGGCCACAACGAAGCCTCACAAAACATCCGAACAGCGAGTAGGACTCCTATCGCAAATACGAAACAATTCCTTCATTATTGTCCTTTTTTAAATGATCAGTTAATCGAAGGCAATTACAATAAGTATTTATTAAATTAATATTGACAACGTGTTCATATTATTTGTGAATGATGGTATTTAATTGATTGCATGTCAATAGCTTAAAAAGTGAAATTAATTCCATAATGAACAACGCAAAACATTGACACGAACCAATTGACGTATCGTTTCCCATTGACATTTCATGAAGACTTGCTCAATATTAGATTCCTAGAAGAAACTATACTGTTCGCCTATGTTTCTTGCAGCTAATAGCTTGCAACTTGTAGGTACATCATCTGCCACGTAGATTGAGAAAATTTCATGAAACCGTTAGGTTGTAATATCTTTTCCTTCGAGCGCATAGTGTATCATTTGAGCAACTTGCTTCTCTCCAATGTGCATAAATTTTTTGTTGATGTCTTTAAACGTCAATCAAACTTTGTCGAAGGAACTCCTTATCGTTCGAAGCTGGCCTGAATGTTGCGTTGTTTTGCCATACTTGACCTTAGACTTTCTAAAATTCAATTTTGTTCTTCTTTAAAATTAGATTTTGTTCATCGAACATTTTTCATAGAGAACATTTGCATTTTATTTTATGACTTCAATTCGGAAACAGGTGATGTCCAAACTAATCGTAGGTGAAAGATTTCATAGGCGTGCAGTAATTATTATTTCGTTATTTCACGCAGAAATAATGAAATAATGGTCTGCCTGCGTGCAATATAGGGAGAAACAAATCAGAATGGTCGGTCGATAACTGTGCATCGACTAAGGAATTTTTCAAATTATGTTTCGCTTCGTTGATTTTATTCTGTACACAATTTACAAAAAAACAACTCATATTTCATATTTCATCTTGTTCCATGAAAATATTTCTTCAAATGCATGACCAGCATTTGTTGATGATTGCCAGTGAGATGTTTAATGTATGCTCGTTTCTTTGAGTCTCTGTTCAGTATGATCTAACCTCATTTCAAGTGCCATTCAGAATTATTTATGCTTTTCAATAAATCTGAAATTTCGTTTCAAATTTCTCTTAAAAACACCGAAAGCACATAATTAATTTGACCACCAATTTTTTGTTGCAAGTAGGGGGAGAAATATCGATTTGATAAATGGTGATGTATGATGAGAATGTTCAGTAAGATATAGTGATTATCAAGAGGTGTTTCGATTTGTAATCTATTTTTAAGCAAGGAATTTCAAAAAAAAAAACGTCTCCCTCAAAGGCTTCACATCGGTAATTTGAGCACGAATGCATTATTAGATTTGATCAGCACACCGAATCTATCTTTTCTTCAGTTTATCAACGCATCATCGCTGTAATATGAAAGAAATGTTTGGTGCATATGTGAGAATCAATCGCTTGTTGCGGTTCATCATTTTTTGCAGACACAATTCAATTCTGCATATATTTATGGCTTTGCAAAT